CACAGGTGTTTCAAGTTGAAAAAGTACTTAAACTTAATTACAAACTTCAAAACATGACATTTCAAAAAATGACATTGCCACAAAATTTTAAATATGAAATCGATGCATTTTATTATTCGTGTAATCTTTCATTCGAATAAAAAATAGTGTTCGATACGAGGGCGAAAATTTGTTTTTCGAAAAACGACATTTTTCGCCCTTGTATCGAAAACTACTATTGCCTCATCTTCCCCTATCTTTTTTATCTGCGACTGAGTATTTTTTGCGTTTTATCTAAGTTTATTGCCAATAATCGTTAAAGTTGGTTGTTAAATTACTAACTGAATCATCCTGTATATGAGGTTTCCATAGTGGAGCTTTTATCCGAGTCACGGTGTCGCTTTTATATCGATAATAGATTAGGAAGATTAAATTTGATGTAGAAAGTTCATGGTTATCAAGGCATGTCCCTCAGATACCGCTTTATTCACAGGGCGTTAATTTCCTTAACAAGCTGTTCTGGAAAAGTATTAAAATTTATATTGCAAGTTTAGCGAAAATGGGATACAAAGTTGCTTTTCATAGGACACTATACATGCATTCGTCCTCGGATTGTGTAAAACATTTCAGGAAAAGGAAGGAGTTCAGTTAGTAGTAGGGAAAACTCGCCCGTCTTATTAAACTGGGAAGAGAACATGGATGGATCAAATGCAGAATGAACAGTGGAAAAGGCAAAAATATAACGCATTGCAAGCAAAAAAAACAGCAGAAAAAACAAAATAAAACGGAATATAAACGGCAGAGTAAAATACAGAATAAATTACTAAAAAATAAATTTTAATTGAAGAACAGCTTTGTAAAATCATATAAACGCTCTTGGACAAATTAGCTAATTAAACATCTAACTGTTCTAGTTTAAGATCTTCACCCTGCTGGGGCACGTCACGTACAATCTAATCTAGATTATGCAGTGCAGTTTAATTAAGTCAATTTCAAGCTCGCTTTTTATTAGTGCTACTTAATTCGTGTTTAGTCTTTAAAGGATTTTAATCAAAATTCTACCGGCCTGTTTACTGCACGTTCTTCTCTATTGGCTTTAATGAAACATGCAAGAAACTGCCGTTTTTTTCTATAAAATTGCTTTAAAATTAGCCGCCGTTCCGGCTGGTAACTTTATCAATATGTTTCAGAAACTGGCTGAAATACTTTGAAGAAAGCTTGACGCAAACAAGCCAAAAACGTTTCCATTCCATGTATTTGCTTTTCTCATTTCCGGTTAACAGCCAAAGAACGTGAGTTTCCGGATTTCAAACTTCGTTTTGTAACCATTACCGGTCGCAATTAACACAAGAATATGCATATCGAATGCATTTGATGCACATGTTCAAACAATCGATTATTGACGGAATTAATTCAATTTAAGAAATTATTGTTTAAAGATCTTTCAAACACGTTCTTTTTGCTTGTTTTTGAGATTTGAGCGTCTTCAACTGCAACAATCGCGTTCATTTGCACATTTTTGCTTCTAACTTTTCAAAGGTTAGGAATTTCTGATGAACCCTAATAAGCAAAAACAGCTTATGAGGTGACCTTTCAAAAAAGTCTTATTCAGGCATTTTCAACAGTTTTCGAGATTTGAGCGGTTTGGACTTCGGCAGTCGCGTAGATTTTCACATTTTTACTTCTAACTTTTTAGAAGAAATTCAGTCTTTTGTTGCTTTAACTCAGAAAGCGAAATTTGAATATCAGATACTTAGAAGCAAGATTATGCCAAAATTTCATGATTTCCGCCCCGTTTTTGCTAATTTCTCGGGAGCAAAATGAGCAAGAACGCTAATTTTTAAATCATTCCAGAGAGAACTAAAATGGTTTTCTAGAAAGTGAACCATCGATAAGAAAATGTTGGCAGTTTTCTCAAAAAAGTCTTGATTTCAAGAAGTTTTAGATTTGCGTGTGTTTTTTAGTTGCAAAATCGACTCAAACATGACGCTGCTTTTTTCGCAGTTTCTCAGGAACCATTTGAGCCACAGAATTCGTTTTGGCATCGTTGGATAGAGAATTGAAAATTTGATTCAGTTAGACCAACATCAGTGAGAAAATTCGAGTGGTTTTGACCCAGAAAGCGAAATTTGAATATCAGACACTTAGGTGCAAGATTATGCCAAAATTTCGTGTTTTCCGTCCCGTTTTTGCTCATTTCTCGGAAGCAAAATGAGCAGAAACGCTTATTTTTAAATCCTTCCAAAGAGAACTAAAATGCCTTTCTAGAAAGTGAACCATAGATAAGAAAATGTTGGCAGTTTTCTCAAAAAAGTCTTGATTTCACGAAGTTTTTTTTTAGTTGCAAAATCGACTCAAACGACGCTGCTTTTTTTGAAGTTTCTGAAGAACCATTTGAGCCACAGAATTCGTTTTGGCATCGTTCGATAGAGAAATGAAAAGTCAGAAAGCGAAACTTTAACATCATACATTGAGCAGCGGCGTCTTTTGTTGTCGATAAAATTAGAAAAATTATCGTTAGGCGACATAAACCCGGCACAAGGGGGTCATGACCCCCATGGATCCGCCCTTGCCCAAAAGCAGACAGATTTTGCAAAAGTAAACAAAGAAGTACCAGGAACATGCACAGAAAACGACTAATAACATGACAAAAATTTAAAAAATACTGTACTTAATTCTAGACAGATAGGTTCTAATGCAAGTTAAAAATACAACTGCAGCTTACAAAGCACGCATACTCATTTACAATTACAATTATTTAATGGGTGATAATAAGCCAGATAAGCGTTCGAACTTGTTTAATATGCCGTAGGCATAATCGCGCCTTAAACTATACGCAAATTTGGGCAACAAAACGTGTAAACATTTATCTCAGGAAGTAGCGGCCATCACTATCAGCTAATTTACAACATGAGCAGGAACCGGAACTTCACTGGTTTCGATCGATTAGGTGTTTTTATATTTGGATAGGGGCATTAAGTGTTTACGACAGGGATTAACTACGTGCACAAACAGGGCTTAAATTCGCTGAAATTCGACGAAAAACTTTAAAACTATCCATTCCTGCACAAGCAGGAAATAATCCGATTCCCACTCGATAAATGTAGCTTCATTTATGTCCCAACTCCACCCACAGATCGAAAGAAACGAAAGAAAATGCAGGTTAATGGATTGAATAACAAACAGCCCATTGATTGGTACTTTTGCCCACGCAATTTTGCGGGTAATTCGGCATAGTTATTCATGTTTCCTTTCACAAAACGAAATCTCCGGCAAGTCGCCTGGTAACGCTGTTCAAACGCCTTTATTGCATCCCACGTACTGAAAAATCCATGTTGGGTAAGGTGCACGTGCCATATGGACCTCGAGAAATCACAGATTCTATCAAATTGAGAAGCTTGCGCTTAATTTGAAAAAAAGATGATTTTTGGCTAATTCAAGAGTCGCAACTTTCGCAATTTAACTGTATCTCTAAGTCGACATGGAAATAACTTTTTCGAAGATAAACAATTTTGCATACGATTTCCCGAATTAAGTCACCTGAATAAATAGGATCCGATAATGTATGGGATTATCTTATCAGGAATGCTGATAAAGAAGCGCTCGTCTGGCGTCAAGTTCTATTAATACTCTGCAGGTAATAAGCTGCCATTGATAAAGCCATCTTTTTATCAAGGGATTTGAAAAAAATATATTCAACATTTTTTGGAAATTCCTCACGAGCCGCATCTGCAAACAATTTAGCTCTAAATCTACCAACCAGAATGCAATTCATGCACTTCTACAACTATATTTAGCAAACACATTTTACAGAAAATCGAAACTCTATGACATCGAAATAGTGTCCATTTAAAATCTACCTTCTTCGAACCTCCTGACTAGAAGAGCTCATTTCAGAATAGCTGAAAAGAGATTTTAATGAAATAGCAACTGAATTGTTGCAACTGCAGGATGCAAATGGCAAAAAAACAATTTTACGAATAAATGTAGAAAAATTCCTAGTGTTTAGAAAACACACATGAACTAGAACAAATGGGAAAATCTGCAAGAAAATATGGACTTTTTCTGTAAAATTGTAGGGCTTAAAAAACATTGAAAATTCCTGATTAAATTTGAACGATTTTTCCTCGACAACTAATAAAAACGAAAGAATTTGTTTGCACTATTTACAAAGACGATGTGACAATTACAACAGAACAATTGGTTAAAAACAACTAAAAAGTATAAGAAATTTCAAAATTAAGACAAATTTGAGGTGTGAAACTTGAAAGTAACAAAGGAAAATGCAAAGTGTTGCTGACGAAGTGAACAAAAAAACTGGAAGAACTAAAGATTCAATTGATGCAGATAATGTGAAGGAAAAGAAAAGCAATGAGGCAAGGAATACAGCACCAAGGCAATTATTTTAATCTCAGATTAACGTTTACTGGCGATAGAAAATGAAAAACAAGACTTTTCCTGGCTTAATAAATATGGGACGTTGTCTGACTTCTGTACAAATTCAAGAAGTGTACCGTCAATCAATTTTAAACAAAACATTTTGAGGCTTGAAAATCGCAAAATTCACAAGATTCATAGTCACAACTAAGGAAAGGTTCATGTTGAGGAGATGAGTGTTTAAAGTCTTCAAATTGTATTAAAAACATTATGGGAAAAATGATAAAACTAGTTATTTTCGGATGTTTGAAGAACCTTTCCTAGACATATAAAAACCACATAAGTTGGGCATATAATAAAAATGAGTTCTCCTGATGTGTTTCCAGTAACTAAACAGTGGATGTAACGACTGAGGCTTTGGCTGCATGTTTCAAACATGTAGAACATCACACAGATCTTGTTATTGCAAAAACTAAACAGTCTGTTTTAAAGATTATTCTGGGTCATGAGTTTATTTTAAAACAAATTTAAATGTGCTGGCTTTTTTTAGGTTGCTTAACATAAACAGTAAACCATATGCATGTCTGTTGGACCAACTGGGAGTTGGAGGCTGAACGACTTGGTCCCAACTCGGATAAATTCCAACTGCAATTTGCTTTTTTTCCTTGCTCATACGCAAATTCATGTACTCAGAGGGTAAATGATATAATAAACATTGGGGGGTGGGATGTGTGTGTATGTGCACTGTTTAGTCATTTAGGATGGGTGCAACACACCCAAAGCGCGGAATCAATACAAATATAAAAAGAAAATACAAGAAATCAGGTCAACAAACAAAGGAGAAGCAAAGACAAAGAGTGTGACTTAGAAAAAAACTAGTTTTGTTGTGAAAACAAAAATGTTCCTCGGCTTAATCAAGTTTGTTAACTAGTAGTAGGTAACGGAGCAATGACTAATAGTTATAAAATGCCTTATCAGTGGCGAACACTCGAGGCAATTAATCGCACAAGGCGGAAGTGAGACATGAAAACCAGAAACAACTATTCAACCATTCAATTAAAAAAAATACTGCATTAATCTGCCAAAAAGCCGATCAAACACCTACCTTGACATTTTCGGTTTTTTCAATGAAAACACGCTTTGAACATCACTTGAAATCGGCTAACATAATTCCACTAGATTCCCGTACTATTAAAACAACTTTTCCTGCTAATTTTCCTGCAATTCATTTACGAAATCGCCCCGAAACTGGTCCATCACATCACAACACTTTTAGATTCGCCATCACTCGCCATGATATTTTTGACATTTTGACCAGCCCGTTTTCCCACCAATCCAATCCATTGGATATGGAGGGAATTTTAAATATGCGAACATATTAATTTATTTGTTTTTCCGATGAATCATCTGTTTTCTTTGGCGAAAAATGCTATCATCGGTTGTTCATTGTGTATTCAATGTATCGAAATACTTGCCTACCAACAGCTGAATACACAATATGGCGACATAACATTAAAAACTACAACTATTTGCTTGTAACGCAAATTTTGAAATGTGCAGTCGACTGCACTTATTGCATAGTATAGGAGATGCATCGGACAATTAGCTTGTTTTAGATTTAAACCACTAAAAGCAGTTGGGGAAATATAATAAATTTAAAAACATTTGTCACAGACCGAAGCCGTAAAATACTGCAACATTCGCCATTCAACATTCGCCTTTTGGACCGACCAGGTCCAAAAGATTAGTTTGGTGATGATAAGAGCAACTTCTATGGGTTTCTCAAAAAAGAGAAACTTTAGCCCTTGAAACTTGTGGGTTTTTCGGGTTTTTAGGCCGTCGTACAATAGAATTTTTTAGATAAGTTCTATTTTGTTGAGGCGAATTCATTTTTTTACAAACTTCTTTTTGGGTATTTCGCCTCAAAAATTTTTGTTTTTAAAAAAAACAGAATTTCCTCACGTCTTTTATTACCGATTGATAAATAGTGCTCCTATTTCGCAATAAGAACGAATTATTTATCAAAAAGTAATCAAGAACTATCACCTAGAGGGTATCCTGCGACACACTTAGGCTCAAGCTGTAAGAGAAAACTCCAATTAGTAAAGAAATTAATTTGAAAAATTACCTTGACGTTTCGATAGCTATTTTCTGCTATGGTTATCAAAAGAACCTAAATTAACCTAAAAAAGAGTATGTTAATAAATTGTGTAACAATAGTAGGATAATACATTGTATGAAAATTTGCTCTGATAATTCGTCTGTGAAAATTGTCAGTTATGAATTATAAAAAAATTGTCAGTTATTACACAGACGAATTATCAGAGCGAATTTTCATATACTGTTTTATCCTACTATTGTTACACAATTTATTAACATACCCTTTTTAGGTTCATGTAGGTTCTTTTGATAACGATAGCAGAAAATAGCTATCGAAACGTCAAGGTAATTTTTCAAATTAATTTCTTTACTAATTGGAATTTTCTCTTACA